GCTCGTGAATTGTTAAATTATCTGGCAAATATTTTTAAAATAACAATTGACAACGGTCTGGGCAAAATAAAGCTATCAGTTCGCATTTTCAACCCGCATTCAAATAAAACCCGTATCGAATTAAATTCTGCAAGCCTTGCCTGTTATGAGCAACTTCTGATAGTCATAAAAACAAAGCCAATTTTGCGTTATTTATGAACGCATTTGACTTCTGTTCAAGTGTGTGTCTGTGTATCTCATTACGCCTTATCTATTAAATGTGTGCATTTATTTTGATCTGACCCCAGCTGAACAATTAAGTGAGTCGGGCTATACAAATTACCCCACATAAATTGTATTAATTGTGTCATTGCTGGGGACAACAGCAAAGTTTTCTAGCTTTTCATTGTAGTAGATGATAAGCAGCGCTATTTATATACTTGTATAATGTAAACTAGGGGAAGAGGAAATAAAGATATGTGCAGAAAAGCTAACTTTAAACTATTTTGAATAATTTTAAGGCCCTGATAGTTTTTACCCAAATCAATATTCAACGGCATGGTGTAAATATCTTATAGTTGAAGCTATTTAAAAATGCAACATAAAACACTTAATCCGCTTTCAGGGATACGTTATTATTATTTAGTTACTCATCGTTAGGTCATTTGCTAACATACCATCAAATCAAAATATAAATTGTTCCCTCTAGTCTCATTTAGGATCCCATCGCTCTTTTAACTAACCAAAAATAAAAAGAAAGTAAAACTTTCTGCCATTAAGATTCACTTAGGGGCATCAAGGGCTGTGGCAAGTATTTTGTGTATTGTTGTGGAACGAAAGCTTACCACACCTCGTTGGCTTTAATGCACTTTCATTAAAGTGGCTTAGATGTGTATAAATTGCACTAATTTTTGGCAAAATTAATAACCCAGACACCCAGACACTCAGACACCCAGCCGCCCAGCATTTTATTTATGAGGCCAACTTGTCATACTTTGGCGAATTGCCATCCAAAATATTCTAGTGGGCCTACTGCGAGTTTGGCTTATTAAATTGATGGCCTGGCTTTGTGAAACCTGGCTATGAAATTGTTCTCATATTGTCGTCCCCTCAACGTGCGTGCCACTTTCGTCAACCTTCCAGCACGAATGCAATCAATTGTTAAGGAATCAGTAGGTTTGTCATTGTAGCAATTTTGCCAATATTTGTCAGGTGGCAAAGAGCAGAGATAGAAGTTAGTTTAGTGAAAGTAAACATGCGAGAACGTTTAAGGTTAAAATAAGTGTCAAAAAGTGAAAAATTCGTGCTTTCCGTGATAATATTGCACGCTCTCTTCTCTAGTTTAGATTGCGTGTGATAGTAAAGTGCATAGATCCAAACAAAAATGATTTCACATTGTGCAGAACAATTCAAATGCATTTCCAAATAAAGCAAAGTGTATTTATTTGATAAAAATAATAACTCAATTGCAGTACTTGCAACAAAACCACGTTCTGCCTCATTTCGAAATAAATTATTCAACATATTTCAATTGAAGTTGTCATGCGAATTGCCCTTCTTGAAACTGGACATTAACTTTGATTGTGGTGAGGCTAAGGACGCAAACTTCTGTTGCCGCTTCTTATTTATTTAAGACTGTCATTAAAGTGCATGCACGACCGACCGTACAGTTTATGGCCTGGCGCAACGACCACCAATTGGAATGGAAACCGAACAGCAGTTAGAAAACAGCTGGCTAAAGTTTACCACTGAGCACTGCCCATATTCCTGACCCAGCAGCTGTCTCTTACATAACTCATTCGTTTTCATATTCTCCAGGCAATTTTAAGCCGCCCCCGTTGACTCGAAAGAGACTATAGGAAAGATAGAGCTTAAATAAACCATCGCAGCGGGCTGTGAGCATTTTGACAGGTACGTAAAATCGCGATAAAAATGCAACGAGAACGAGAACTCCGACTTCTACGATTTAATTAAAGTAATAAATTTCAAGGCATTTGTGTTACCTGCGCCGCGGATATGAACTCAAGTAATATCTTGTGCAATGGCGCAGAAGCGATTAGTCTTAGGACAGCCTAGAAACAGCTCTCTGTGGTCAATGGTCGGCATCCAAATCACAAATAATGTCCTAAGTAGCAGTTAAGCAAAGTTAAGCAAAGCACAAAAATCAATATCTCCAAAATGTAAAAGAAAACTGTTTGTTTGAGACTTACTCAATGCGAAGAAGAATGAAATAAAATGTATACCAGAGTGATTTATGTTTAAAGTTGTTCTTATACAGGGAGAATCACTAGATTTGTGTGTTCAGATATAGCTAACAGCTTAGGTGAGACGTCTTCATCGTACAGACTTACTCTGTAATGACTTACCAACAAAACTAAAGAAAACTACATCATTACAATATGTTTCTGCTGCAATCTGATTTATTTTACTGTTTGGTATTTGAGCTGTTTACCCAACTATTCGAATAACTCGTACAAAATCTCATTAAGCAGCCACACTTTAATCAGCATTTGTTTGCTCTGAAATCATTTGGTTTGTTTTTATCATGGAAGGCAGCAAATATTTCGATTGCATAATGCTGTTTTATGCCACAACCACGCCTTCTATCTGCTGCGCCTCGCTGGTTGAATGCGGTAATGAAAGGAAAACTGTTGGTAACAACAAGATAGCAAACAACTACAAGGCTGCTGCCTTAGACATTTCCCAGTTTTCAGCAACAACAACAAAACACCAGCAGAGAAGATGCCATGCGAACCGCTGCTAATGAATTTTAATTACGTAAATAAGTTCGCTGGGCAGTTGCTGCCAATTCACAGCAGTTGTTTTTTTTTTCTGCCACGCACTTGATGGCTTTAGGTGGTTAACTAAAGGAACAGAATATAAGTAAGAACAGCAATCATAAACAAGCAGCTCAGGAGAGCAAAAAAAAAAAAACGATTCTGCTTGACAAATTTTCTTTGTTGGGTCGGCAGGAAACGGAAATGATTTTCGCTGCTGTCCCAAAGACAACTTACCAGCTTGCTAGAATATGGCAAATGGCTTATAATGCATTAATTAGGTATTAAACAAGTTTGACGTTGATGGGCTTTTGCTAACGTCAGCAAATTGCTCATACGCTCCGTTATATAGCGATAAACAGTTATTTAATTGGATGCTTGCCTCCTTTATTATCCATGTTCTGATGTGTTTCCTTCCTTGGCCAGAGTCTACCTTTGGCCTTTTTAGCCTGATTTTGTTGCTAGGCAAACACTTGCGTGTCGATGCATAGGTGTAAATTTGTTACCGTTGCTTCTGTGTTTTCTGTGTATGGTTATTAATTTTATTTTCCATTCGAGTGCACTGCGCTTCTGCCATTTGGCTACGGCTCATTTTTTTTTTGGTTTGTGTCAGGTTTAATGAGCCACATGCAAAATTCATTTAATAACTTTGCCACGCATTATTTGGTTCGTTTTATGACAGCACTAAAATCGAGGCTATTAAGCGAGGCAAGCACGAGCAGGCCTTTTGAATGTCGGAGTCGGAATTATTTAAATTCACCGGTATTAGTTTTAGTGGACTACCACATGAATTTAAAATTAATGGTACTTATCAAGTATTCCAACTTTCCATAAATAATAAAACTCATATAACGCTCATTTGAATGAAATTGTTATTCTTATTCAATTTCACAAGACTTGGCTGAAAATTCCACAAGTTTATTTTAAAATTAATTAATATCGAATTTTTAATGTAAAAACATGTCATATAAAATATTAAATAAATAAATCTATTTCGACAGCTGTTAAATAAATGACAATTTCATATAATTTTGTTAAAAGTCATTTAGTTGACCACAATTTCCGGATATATATTTTTACAGTTGTTTGATGATTAATTGCCGGCACAATATATACAGAAGTATGCAGGAAAAAACTTGAATTCACTGCCATTGAATGATTTAATGACTTTGTCAGAGCACTTTTGTGCAGCTGTCGGAATAGCAAAGGGAATACTGTTACCACTTGACACTGGCCAAACCATCAACGAAATTTGGCCAACCCCGTTTCAGCTTTTACGCCTTGCACACCTGACTGGCCACCGCCCACTGGCCACATCCCGTTGCCTGCCTCACATGACTGCCTGCCCTGTCTGTCGCCCCCCACGGTGGCCAGAGCTCAACAAAACAACCTTGCAAAAATGCACAATACAACACCATTTTTCAAGCCACAAAACTGTTTCTGTTTCGGTTTCCTTTGTTGTTGTCTGTGCTGCTGCTGTTGTTGTTGCTGCTTTTACTGATAGTGTGGACTAAAAGACCTTACGTGTCAATTTATTATAACTTATTCAAGGAAAACATTTTGGTATCTGCGTGGAAAATGCCATAAAAAATGAACGCTGACCCAACCAGAAAGACAGCGCTTTCATGAAAAGCAAAGCTTACTCAGTCCCGCACTTTATACATATCCTATATATAAACAATAATATGTGGGTTTTATTGTGCTGAGAGTAAATTCAGAATTAGAAATTCCCCAAACATATTGTAATCATACTTATTCGCTCATAAACCCAAATATTAAATGTGCTCTTTCCACACAACTCATTTCACAGGGTATTGTGCAGTCTAACAACAACTTACTGATTCCATTGATGGTCCCCGCCCAAAAACTCAGACACGCACAGAAGTTACGATTCAAGTATATTAGCAAAGCTCTTGGCCTGAGTTCTTGGCAGAATGCCAAAAATTCTTCAACATTTTGTGGGACTCAATCAGTAATCGATCGATTTTTGTAGAGGGTTGTCCGCTCATAGAAGTTAATTGCTTTGCAAAACTTGCCAGCAGAAAAGTTATCCAAAAGACGAAAAAATAAAAAACATCAATAAAAGAAAAGAAGAAAAAGCTGTCGCAGAGTTTTTACATAAGCATGACCGGCTTCTTATTAAAAATCAAAGTTTTTGCATAACTTTTGATAGATACTTAGACACAGTGACACTTTTGTTATAATATCTTTTGCATCTTTTTTTTTTGTTACATTTGATTACAGCAAAAGCCGCAACAAAAATTCAAGCCGTCTTTCGAGGCCACAAAGTGAGAGAAACCATGAAAAAATCAGAAACCAAAACCACTACCAACAATGGCAGCGCCATCCCCGCTGGTGCCGCCGCCGCCGCCGCTGCTGCTGCCGCCGAGGCAGCCTCCTCATCTGCGGAGCCCACCAAAGCGGAGCTCGAGGCTGAATTCGATCCGAACGACAAAGGTAAGTGTCTTCCGAATTAAAGTACTCAAAAGTGTGAAGCAAGATTGAAGCATACGAACGGATGGTATTAGTTTACAGTCAACAAATATTTACTTTGACCAACTCAAAGACTTACAAAAGATTGTCCAAATATATACGAGTTGAATGATGCACTCCGGTAACTGAAGATGGCCAAAGCGGATCTAAAGCAAAATTCGAAAAATACTCGAAACACACAGCAACCGCTTGGAAACATGCTGTATTTTATTTCATAGCAGAAATTGGATCAAGTATTTGTTGTCGCTGCAACAAAAATCCATAAGAGCTGCTGAATTCTAAAATTCGTACAAGTAAGAAAAATTCACAGCAAGCTCATTGCAAGCTTGATTCACTTAGATTCAATAAGTGTGTCTCATTAAAACCACATCTTAATTTGTTATGTATGTATAATCAATGGTACATACATACATACATAAACACATGACAACTTGAGAGCTTGATATGTTGAGAAGTTGAGAATTTTATATGTTATCCTACTTGGTCATTATTAGCTCAAGTCGTGACACAGTTGCGACTGCCTTGACTAAGTGCTATCTTGTTAACCTGCTTGCTCATGGCAAGCACATTAATCATGACCTACACTTGCCGAAAGTCTCATGTACATTTATTTGACACATGGCGTCAGCTCATTCTACACCCTCCTCGTCCTACCCCTCCTCCTAATGCCACAACTTCATTTTCAGGCGTTGTCCTCGGGGCTTGCCGTCTCACATCGTTGGCAAATCAGCAACTTTACACCCATGTTGAAATTACAGTTTGCACAACTTCCCCTTGTATGTAATGAAAACTTTGGCGTTACCGTTACGCAATATATTTTCCGAGTGTAAGAAAAATTTGTCACAACAACATCGGTTGCGTTGCGGCGTTGGCTTAGACTTGCCTGCGAATGACAGCCGGTCCCGCATGGGTATATATGTATGTATATGCAAAGTTTCCAGGCAGACCGCGCCCCGGCCCCGTCCACCCCCTTTTCTTCGCCCAATGGGTATTTAATTGTGGCTCTGACAGATCCGCAACTCTTATAAATAACGCAAAAACTTCAAGCGACACAGCGGCATTTATCCCCGGGAGAACACTGACTGAGGATCTGCTCCTGGCACGTTTAACCCTATTAAGCCATGAACAGCCACTGACAATATTTAGCCATAATTTCGTAGGAAGATAGTCAGGCTGGCAGACTGGCAGACTGGCGTTGCTACTCATTAAAAACTTAAAGCGTGTCATCATGGCACATAACCAACGAGGACAACGTCAGTCTCACATGGATCCCCAAGACAGGTAGACAGACCTCGCCTCCGTTGCTGCTACTGCTTAATTATGATGCTCGACTATGTCTCACATATGTATACGTTTGTAGTTGTGTGTATGTGTATGACAATGGACTGCAAAGGCTAATTAGACGCGGTTCACAAGTCAAAGCGATGTGCAAATGCATGAAAACCCCTCCGACTTGTTGTTGCACTGTACTCAATTACAGCAGGACAAGCGGAATAAGAACACTTCTCTGAAGGCCAACACATCAGTCAGATAACATTTCATCTGTCAGCTGTCAGTTAATACTTTGTCACCTTGAAAATGGCGTTTTGTCAGCATTGTAGCTATAAATAGAATGAAGGATATCATGTATCAAATACTAAAGATATCAATACACTCCGACAGCTTTGTAGCTATATTTGGACCGAAAGATAGCATAAATCACATAGTAAAGATATCAATCCACAAAGAGATGAGTAACTGGAGAGCCTGAAATCATTTATTTTCATTTATATAGTTTCAATTTGAGTTCCATAAAGTTTATTTTATAAACCACTTTGAATCTCTTTATATTCGTGGCTTGTTTATTACAGTATTGTTTATTGTATTGTTTTCTAACGTGTTTGCACTAGAAACTTTCTTTGTTATGGACTATAATTTCACACCTGGCTCACACCTGGCCGTATGAAGCCGCTATCCGGCAAACCGACGGTTAGAACTTCATCATTATTCAAAGTTGGCTGCCACAACAACGATGGACGAACAACAGCTGGTGTTGGCCTAGTTTTCAAATTTGTACCCAACATATAGCACTATTCTACATAGCGATAACAAACAAGTAAACCAGTAAACCACAACAACAGCTGTGTGGCCGTTGCAAATTATTTAGTCAGTGCTTGGCTTACGCGAATGCAATAACGCCCATTTGCCATGCAAATGAGCCAAAATACCACGTACACACACACACACACAAACACATACGCACACACACACACACACAGTTCGTGAGAGTGTTAGACAAAAATGGAAAGCCAAAGGGATTTTAAAGGATATTTTCTTGTTGCATTCGAATTTGGCAAAACAATGTGGCTTTGGCATGTTTCCTGTTCTTGCATTTCGAGCATTTACTTTGTGCAAAACGTACAATTATTTCACACGAATACACAAACAACACACACACACACACACACACACAACACACATTTATGTACACATAATGCCAAATGGCTTTGAAGGTCGCCCAGTTGTCTGGCGATTTGTTTTGCGGCCATGTCGATTGCAATTTTGGCCTCATTTCACTTGCATAATCATTTTCTTACTAATTGTTGTTTACTGCAGGCAAAATATTGCCCTGTGTTAAATGCCTTTTGAGCTCGTGTTGCGTGTGGTCAACGCTGCGAGCGGATAACTTTGAGAAATATTCGAATATTTGCTTGCCATTATTAAGTCGGTCATTAAAATGCAAATATATGCAAAGGCTTACGATTTAGCCTCTTAGCCACTAATTGGCTTACTTATAATCCTATATTGTGTGCTCAAGAATTGAGCTTAGCTATAATTGCATATAAAAATCGTTTTCCGAACAAATTATTGTGGAGTTGAGATTTCTGTTGTCTTGTGCAGTGCAGCTTAGACAGATATAGTGGGTGTTATGTAAATTCATCTTTAAAAGCAGATTAGTATTTGCGCTGTTGATGTTGGCAAAGCCAAAACACATCATCACAGCCATAATAATAACTTCCAACACTTTTGCAGCTTTAATTGCGCTCAGAGGAATGTTGAGTAAGATTGTGAGAGTCGAGAAGAGATTACTTATAAGTCTTCACTAAGTCCAAGCAGATGGAGAGGGTTTATTGGCTCGGTGCGTGTCAGCCGGGATGTTGAGAGTAACAATAATATCTGCGATAAGGCAGACGCAACGCTTTTTTTTCTTTCTAATTGGATTTTCGGTTTTAAGCGCAGTTGTAATTTCATTTACACCACAACAAAAGCACAGCCGCTGGGCGATACATTTAAGTACAATGTTAACTGTGTTGTTGTTAGTCTTCTTGCTTATTCACAGCTGTGCCACAAGCACAAAAAAAAAAACAAACAAAAAAGGCGGATCCGACAAACACGCGCAGTAATGCGGCCGTATTAAAACAGCAAAAAACAAAAGCGGAGAGAAAAAACACGAAACGTACAACGAACATAAGCGACACGGAACACACAAAAAGTAGCATGAACTAAATATGTTTCGGACGCTGAATTGGCGCTTTTTGCAACACACCCACACTAATGCGTACACACAAACACACACTCACACAAATGCACACACAGACACTCACCTCTAGGCTTGAGCTCAGGTGTTCCGCAATGTAGGCAACACAAAAGTAAACTCCTCAGCGGCCCCTTGAAAAATAAAACAGGCGACAACATTTCAGTGCCGGTCGCTTAATTTATAATGCACAGTGGCCAAAATAAAAAAAAAACTGCCATAGATTACCACTGCGACAGTATGTCACAGTGTGTGTCCTTCTGTGCGTGTGTCCGAGTGTGTGTGTGTCCGAGTGTGTGTGTCTTTTGGGTCTGTTGGCAAGACAGCTGGTTTTGTATTTATTAAGCATGCTGCTAAACGTTTTGGTCGTCCTGTTGGCGACCGCATTTTAAATATTTTAGCAACTTGGCACCTTTTACGCATTTTTCTTCGTTTGCTTCGTGCTGAAATGCCAATACACAACTGGACCACACTTCCTTTATATATAAATAAATATGTTTATTGTTGCTTTAGAATTCCTCTTTGTAAATATTTAATTGTGGTTTCAATACTTAATTTTCCTATTTGTTTAGCTGCCAGCCCAAAATATATACTGGGTTTGTTTACCTTCTGCATTATATTTGAATAGCTGAAGTTTGACCTGAAGTCATTTGATGGTCTGTTGATATTGGTTTACCCTTTCTAAGTGTAAGCTAATCATTTCTTAAATATTAAGCAAATAAAATGAAAGTGCATATCGAATTATTTGATTAACAAATTTATTTGTAAACCGTTTGATAATTAATTCAATTTCCAATTAAAATCTTGGCTTTGTTACGCCCATCCAAAAAAAAACTACATTTTCGCATTAAATAAATTACTTTTATTTTGTTAATCTACACGACACCTGCAATTAATTGTAGTTAATCTTTAAGCCAGTAGTAAATTATGCCTGGGATTAGCTTGAAGCACCGCTGACGTTTAATTAGTTTTTAGAGTTTAAGCAGCCCCAACTAGCCTTAAAAACTCCATTGAAACCCCTACCAAAAAGCACAATAAGCCATAAGCTGATTTTGTGCTGGGCTTTATATTAATTAAAGTTTTTTGTTTGATTTGCCGTGGTTGCTGTTGACAGTGTGTTCGTGTGTGTTGGTGTGGGTGTGTGTATGGATTTGGATGTGGGTAAATGCAGCACACAGTAACGTTCACAAATTACCAATGGGACCGTCGACCGACATTATTCGGTTGGCTTAAGTATGATTACCACAAGAGAATTTATACGTGTTTGAAGCTTAATTAGCAACACAATTTCGATATTTATGCGATGAATATTTGAGTGTAAATTATGCCTTAATATGGGCAACGGGACCAACAATTATAAATATTCATAATGAAAACTGTCCAACAGTTACACCTTCAATCTATCATTTTAATTGCAACACCAGAGCGAGTGCGTATTTGTCTTTAGTAA